ACTTGAAGTACAGACATCTTCAAGTTGCCAAGGTTGAGAAACACTGCTCTACAAGCAGATGGAAAGGGCTGTCAGGGAAGTGATATAAGACAAATGATACCTAAACCTGTTGCCCAGCTGGCACATCACTTTGCAGACTTTCAAACTGTCACCAAGGCTGCAAACTGAGGACCTCAAAAACAATTGTACACCTCCATGGACAAAAAGGCCAGATATTTTTCTCTCTCTTCTACAATGTCTTCACAAAAAATAAGGTTTGTGCTTCTGCTGGCAGCCCTAAAGGTCAGATTTTAAAACATCTTTTATAATAAATGAAATTATCCTCATGGATTAGGAATAATAGAAAATGCTATTTTATTCATATGACTTTCTGTGAGGCTAGGAGAGCCAATGCTTGCATTTTTTTTTTTGCAGAGACAATATAGCTAAAATTGGCAGCTAAACATGATATAAAGATTGCCAAAATTCTCTCTGGAAGAAAGACAGATCTGAAGTTGTCCATATGTATTTTAGACAGCATTTTTGTAAGCAGACAGCAGAAACATTCATTTTGCAGCCACTGGAAGTGGCAGTCCCATCACACTCTGTTTAAATGTAGCCTTTCAGGATTCAAGGTTTGACAATTTGGAATTTTATCTTTAAGATCGAAAAACCTTCAGAACCACGAGTCTACCAGTTGCTGGATGGGATTCTTCATCCCATCAGTTTTAAAAGAAAGAACATCAGCTTTGCAAGATCTTTATATTTTAAAATTTCTTCTAATATATAGCAAAAAGGTTCTATCAAGAGTTGTTCCTGGGAAGCTTCATACATTGCTAAGGTTTGTGAAACTAACTTAAAGACAAACAAGAAAAACAAGAAAAAAAGTTTGCCTCTGCCTCCCAGCATCCTTTTGTTATTCATCTGGCTCATGTCCTTGCAGCAAACAGCAAACAGCCTGGTCAGCTTCAGCACGTTATCAGAGCCCCAGCATGTGGCTTGTCAGGGCTCCGCTCCATTATGCCACCAGTGGTCAACTGAGCTGAGCTGCTCCTACCGCTGGGGAACACTGGAGCCCTTGCTGCTGATCAGCTGTTGGCAGTTGGATCAGCCTCCCAGAACACTGCCGATCAGCTGCTCTAGGTGACGGTGATCACCGTCGTCATTCACCACCACTGTTCACCACAGCCACATTTGGTGGCGGTGATTAGTGGCGGCAGCAATCCTTGCTGCCTAAAACAGTTGATCAGCGGTATTCCAGAAGGCTGATCCAACCGCTGCTCAGCAGCAAAGGCTCCAGCGCTAGCAGTGAAAGGCGATGGCGAACAGTGTTGCCATCCCACCCCACCCCCTCGCCCAACCACAATATTTGCTCTTTAAGATGCACAGACATTTCCACCCATGGGGGGGGGGGAATGTGTCTTATAATGTGAATAATACAATACTAGAATTTTTTTACAGGAACCAAAAGTTACCACTGAAGATGAACAAATCACTCTGGACATAACTAAAATGGATCTAATGGCTGGATTTAAAGTGATAACTTATAAGACAAAGATAAGAGATATTGGATTTACAAATGTAATTGGGCGATCATTTAAAAACTGAATAATACATTAACAACTATCCTTTTAAACGGAAATATAATATAATTACTGGAGTCAATTTCTTGAAATTAAAAGTGGGCTTGAAAGCTAATAAGAATTTTGAGAAAAAAGGAAAAGATATTAAAAGAAAACAAGGGTTAGGATTTTATTTATGTGA